CCCCGAGCCCCCTACCCTTCTACAGGCCCCAGTGTGTGATGTTCCCCGCCCTGTGTCCAAGTGTTCTCATTGTTCAATTCCCACCTATGAGTGAAAACATGTGGTGTTTGGTTTTCTGTCCTTGTGATAGTTTGCTGAGAATGATGGTTTCCAGCTTCATCCATTTCCCTGCAAAGGACATGAACTCATCCTTTCTTATGGCTGCATAGTATTCCATGGTGTATAAGTGCCACATTTTTTTAATCCAGTCTATCATTGATGGACATGTGGGTTGGTTCCAAGTCTTTGCTATTGTGAATAGTGCCACAATAAACATACGTGTGTATGTGTCTTTATGGCAGCATGATTTATAATCCTTTGGGTATATACCCAGTAATGGGATCACTGGGTCAAATGGTATTTCTAGTTCTAGATCCTTGAGGGATCACCACACTGTCTTCCACAGTGGTTGAACTAGTTTACACTCCCACCAACAGTGTAAAAGCGTTCCTATTTCTCCACATCCTCTCCAGCACTTTTCCCTGAACAACAACAGCACCGTTGTTCCCTGACTTTTTCATGATTGCCATTCTAACTGGCATGAGATGGTATCTCATTGTGGTTTTTATTTGTATTTCTCTAATGACCAGTGAAGATGAGCATTTTTTCATGTGTCTGTTGGCTGCATAGATGTCTTCTTTTGAGAACTGTCTGCTCATATCCTTTGCCCACTTTTTGATGGGGTTATTTGAAGTGTGATGTGGTGCTGAGAAGACATATATTCTGTTGATTTGGGGTGGAGAGTTCTGTAGATGTCTATTGGGTCTGCTTGGTGCAGAGCTGAGTTCAAGTCCTGGATATCCTTGTTAACCTTCTGTCTCGCTGATCTGTCTAATATTGACAGCGGGGTGTTGAAGTCTCCCATTATTATTGTGTGGGAGTCTAATTCTTTTTGTAAGTCTCTATGGACTTGTTTTATGAATCTGTATTGGGTGCATATGTATTTAGGATAGTTAGTTCTTGTTGAATTGATCCCTTTACCATTATGTAGTGGCCTCCTTTCTCTCTTTTGATCTTTGTTGGTTTAAAGTCTGTTTTATCAGAGACTAGGATTGCAACCCCTGCTTTTTTTCACTTTCCATTTGCTTGGTAGATCTTCCTCCATCCCTTTATTTTGAGCCTATGTGTGTCTCTGCACATGAGATGGGTCTCCTGAATACAGCACACTGATGGGTCTTGACTCTTTATCCAATTTGCCAGTCTGTGTCTTTTAATTGGGGTATTTAGCCCATTTACATTTAAGGTTAATATTGTTATGTGTGAATTTGATCCTGTCATGATGTTAGCTGGTTATTTTGCCCGTTAATTGATGCAGTTTCTTCCTAGCATTGATGGTCTTTACAATTTGGCATGTTTTTGCAGTGGCTAGTACTGGTTGCTTCTTTCCATGTTTAGTGCTTCCTTCAGGAGCTCTTTTAAGGCAGGCCTGGTGGTGACAAAATCTCTCAGCATTTGCTTGTCTGTAAAGGATTTTATTTCTCCTTCACTGATGAAGCTGGATGTGAAATTCTGGATTGAAATTTTTTTCTTTAAGAATGTTGAATATTGGCCCCCATTCTCTTCTGGCCTGTAAGGTTTCTGCCTAGAGGTCTACTGTTAGTCTGACAGGCTTCTCTTTGTGGGTAACTTGATCTTTCTCTCTGGCTGCCCTTAACATTTTTTCCTTCACTTCGACCTTGGTGAATCTGACAATTATGTGTCTTGGGGTGGCTCTTCTCAAGGAGTATCTTTGTGGTGTTTTCTGTATTTCCTGAATACTGCTGCTTCAGCTCCTCTCTGGGGCTGCTGGGGAGCTCGGGATGAATTTTCTGCCACATTTTAGGTCATCCCAATTCCATGCTGAAGGGCAGAGAGGGTAAATTCACTGGAGCCTGGCTCCTTCCCCTTGCTGTTTGGTCTCAGGGTTTCCTTGGGGTCTGCCTGACAACTGCCATCGTTAAGAATCATGAGAAAACATGGGTGTCTCTGAGTCCCTTGGGCAGGGCCCTTGAGGCATTTCCCTTCTGTTTCATCTTTTTATTCTTTTTATCTTCCTCTCATTCTCAGTCTTTTCTTCCCCCTCCTATTTTCTGTCTTCAGAATCGCTTTGCCTATTTCATTTCCTCACTCCTTTCTCTCTCTCTTTTTCTTTCCTTCTCTTTTATTTCTCAATATTTCTTTTTTTCTTTTCTCTGGCCATTTTGCTAACTCTTTTGTTCCTTGTCTCCTGTCTCTCTGTTCTCATGTCTTCACTTTTGTCTTCCTTGTCTTTTTCTTCTCGCTTCTCCTACCCCTTCTTTCTCCTGCTCTATTTCATTTCCATGTCTGTCTTTCTTTTCTCTCTCCTTCTATTCTCCTCTTTACCCTGCCTGTCTCCTCTTCCCTCCTCCCCATTTCCTCCCTCCCTCCTTCTCTCTCTCACACACACACACACTTTCTTCAGAACATGGCAGTAGATCAGGAACTAGACACATTGTGACTTTGGTATTTATTGACGGTACAGTGTCCTTACAACCTGACAGACCAAAAAGACAAAAAAAAAAAAAAAAGAACTCACCAAGTCTTGCAAGCACTTTGATGCTGAAAGCCCCATGTTTGACACAGGCGTGAGCCACCTTGAGGCTCTTATATTGATTAGCTCAAAGGGGAATTGCTTCCTCTCCCAAATCTGTCAGCGTTTTCGACATTTCTGAAAACGATAGGAGACTGGGAACAAAAACCTCCTCTCTAGGCTCCCTGACATCCTGCGTTAAGCAAAGGTACATGCCCAGTTGGATTTTCTGGCAGCCAAGACTGCTGTGGCATGGCTGAAGGTCACATGTTTTGGCTATTTCAAAAGATGTTGTGGCCTGATGGGAAGGTGAGGAGCTCTACATTGGGAATGTGTCCAAGGCTGGAGACACCAGCAGCCAGTGACAGGGTAGGTCTGCTCAGCTGCTCAAGGGCCTGCCCTTGGCAACAGTCCCCAATCCCCCACACCCCGTCCTCCTCACATGCAGGGCTGGTTACCCTCCAGACATCATCCCCCTTATGAATCTGACTCCCCAGGTGTGGGGGAGCAGGTAGGAGTGGGGTGAGATTGATAGACAGGCCTGGATATGCCACTTGGGCTCATTGATGCCTTTCTTTATGCAGCAAGCATTTATTAAGCACCCATTGTATACAAGGTATTGAGCAGATAGCAGTGAATACTGACAGAGACCTGACCTTCAAGGACCTTAAGTATAGCTGGGGAGATAGACAAATACAAGAGGGCAAGAAGGATCTAAACAAGTATATCTGGACATGCACTTACCTATGAGCCAGCAATTCCACTTCAAAGTACACACCCAACGTCACCAAATATTTATAGCAGCAGTATTTGTAATAGCCATCCACTGCCCATCAGTAGTAGAATGGATACATAAATTGTGGTCTGTTCACATGATGGAATACCACACAGTAATAAAATGAATCATCTACAACTACACATAAGAGTTTGGATGAATCTCAACACACAATTGTTTTAGTCCATTCTCACACTGCTATAAAGAACTACCTGAGACTGGGTAATTTATGAAGAAAAGAGGTTTAATTGACTCACAGTTCTGCAGGCTTAACAGGAAGGATGACTGGGAGGCCTCAGGAAACTTACAATCATGGCGGAAGGTGAAAGGGAAGCAAGCACTTCCTTCACATGGCGGCAGAAGAGAGAGAGAGAGCAAGTGAAGGGGGAAGTGGCATACACTTTCAGACAACCAGATCCCGTGAGAACTCACTCACTATCATGAGAACAGCAAAGGGGAAGTCCACCCCATGATTTAATCACCTCCCAGCAGGCCCCTCCCCCAACACGTGGGGATTACAATTTGAGATGAGGTTTGAGTGGCGACACAGAGTCAAACCATATCAACAATGTTGAGTAAATGAAGTGAGATGCAAAAAAGAACATATTGTATGTTTCTATTTTACAAAAACCAAGAATAGGCAAATCTAATGTGTGGGGTCAATGGGTAGGATAACAATTATATTGAGGGGGTTGAGTGAAATGGGGTGCAAAGGTGGCTTCTAGGGTACTGATAGCATTATATTTCTTAGTCCGGGTGCTAGGTACCCAGGTGTGTTGACTTAAATGAGGATTCTTTGAGCTGTAAATCATGCTGCACCTTAGGACGTGTACCTCTTTAATGATTTTGCAAGTGATGTTTCAATGTAAATATTTCACTGAAGCAATAATAGATCATGGAGGACGTTCAGCAGCATGGTTGACTGAACTGGGGTAGTATTTCCTCTCTCCCAATACAAATGCATAGAATTGTGACGACAATATAATAAAATAATAAACACAATTATAAAAATTTTCCTAGCGTGACAAAAGAAGGAATATCCCCGGGATTCAGAAACAAAGACAGAAGACAGAGGTCCAAGTCAGGACCGTGTGAGAAGCTGACATTAAGAGTAGCAGGCTGGGCCGGGCGCGATGGCTCAAGCCTGTAATCCCAGCACTTTGGGAGGCCGAGACGGGAGGATCACGAGGTCAGAGATCGAAATCATCCTGGCTAACACGGTGAAACCCCGTCTCTACTAAAAAATATGAAAAACTAGCCGGGCGAGGTGGCGGGGTACCTGTAGTCCCAGCTATTCAGGAGGCTGAGGCAGGAGAATGGCATAAACCCGGGAGGTGGAGCTTGCAGTGAGCCGAGATCGCGCCACTGCACTCCAGGCTGGGTGACAGAGTGAGACTCCATCTCAAAAAAAAAAAAAAAAAAAGAGAAGCAGGCTGGTGTTAGGACCTCAGACCCCAGCCTCAGGGCCAGAGCAGACACAAATCCTGAGGCTGGAATTTGGGGTCCTAGCACCATGGGCAACCAGAGATGCCACAAAGTAAAGGGCTCAGAAACAAACCTTCCTCCTCCACTTCACTCTGTAAAGTGCTCCTGGATCACATAGACTAAAAAAATTCAACCCTACCTCCATCACAGAGCAGCAGGTAGAAACAATATGGGGCTTTGCGAATGGCAGGTTGCAGTCAGCCAAGATTGAGCCACTGCAGTCCAACCTGGGCGACAGAGCAAGATTCCGTCTCAAAAAAAAAAAAAAAAAAAAAAAAACAGGGCAAAGATCATATAAAGAAAAGAGAATCTCCTAAACAACTCAAAACCTTATCCTGCCCCATGTATGGATATAGAGTACAGATGCCCTCTTCCTCTGTAGTGTGGGAACCACAAATAAGATGGTAACATAGGAACTGGCCCAGGACAATAGAATTCTCTTGAACTGCAAAATAGGAAGCCAGAAAGCCCTCATTGTGGATTGTACTGTAACTCAGGGTACACTAGAATCCCACAGACAGTCAGCTCTGCTGAGGACGAGCTCACAAGCAGAATTACAGAGAAGCATAGGAAATAAATCAGTCAGGGGAGGGCCAGCAGCAGGAGCTATTAGTGGAAAATTAGTACCTGGAAAACTCAAACATATAGAGTAGTCTGAAGGAGATTTTTAAAAAGTGATATTTAAGAGGATTAAAAAGATTTAAAAAGTACAAGAAAATGTAATAAAAAAGAGGATGCTATAAAAGGCAGGTTTGAGGCTGAGTGCAGTGGCTCATGCCGGTAATCCCAGCACTTTGGGAGGCCAAGGTGGGTGGATCACCTGAGGTCAGGAGTTTAAGACCAGCTTGGCCAACATGGGTGAAACCTGTCTCTACTAAAAATACAAAAAAGTTAGCCAGGTGTGGTGGCGTGTGGCTGTAATCCCAGCTACTCAGGAGGCTGAGGCAGGAGAATCGCTTGACCCTGGGAGGTGGAGGTTGCAGTGAGCTGAGATCGTGCCACTGTACTCCAGCCTGGGTGGCAGAGTAAGACTCTGTGTCAAAAAAAAAAAAAAAAAAAAAAAAAGAGTAGATTTGAAAAAGGAACAAGGAGTATTTGAGTATTTATTATTCTAAATTATCTATCTATCTACTTATGTCTTTATCTAATTTATCTATCTACTCACAGCCATTATAATCTCAATGGATAGGACCAAAGGCAAGTTACACAAGGGAAGAGAGAAATTATGAATAGGAAGATATGCTTGAAGAAACTCTCCTGGGAACAGCAGGGAGAAATAAACACATGGGACATATGGAAAGGCAACTGAGACACATGGATGACAGAATGAGTGAATCCAACATAAGTGTGATAGGGCTTCCGAAAGAACAGAACAATGGTGATGGGAGAGAGCATGAATCAAAGAGATAAAGACAAAATTGAGGAAAGATGTGTTTTCGGATTGATGGATCACAAAGTCCTTCTTCTCAATAGAGAAATGAATCAATAAATAAATAACAAACTATCTGACCAAGGCACATCCTGGTAATTGCAGAACACCAAAGACAGAAAGAAAAATCTGAAAAACTATTAGACATAAAAGACAAGTGGCCTTCAAAAGAACAAGTATCAGACTGACAGTGGACTTCTATTTAGCATGAGTACATGCTGGGAGGCCACATATAACATTTTCAAAGTGTTGAGGGAAGAGATTGTCAGGTTAAACTTTTCTTTCTTTTCTTTCACACAACTAAACCATTATAAAAGGGTAGAGGTTAAATATAGACACTCTAAAACAAAACGAAGAGAGCTTACTTCTCAGAGACACTCACTAAAAGAATTACCAAAGGATTTAAGTAGAAATTGGAATGTAGGGAGAAGAAATAGAATAGAAGAAGCAACACTGAGCAAAGAAATTAGTAAGATGTTAAAGAAATCCAAACCAGCACAGAGAATATAGATATAATAATGTCTATGGTTTAGGATAATTCAAAAAAATGAAACTAAAATATCAGTTATGAAAGAAGGGGAGAGTTAGGAGTTCTAGAGTTCTTATATTGCCTGACAGGAAGATAATAACAATGATAAATCTTAGCATTTAAGACAAGTTTGCATGTTAAAAATGTATGAGGCACTGGAAGAATAAACTAGAACAAATAACTTCTAAATCAGTAGAGTTAAATAAAAGAGAGAAGGGAAAGGATGTAAGGAAAATATCACACAATAGAAAGTGAGTAGGGAGGATCAGAAACAGGCTAAAACATATCAAAAGTCATTCGGAAGATACATTTATTTAGATTAAATAAGGGCAAAGTTTTTTTTTGAAATCCGCATTTATTATTATTATTATTATTATTATTATTATTATTATTATTTTGAAGACAGGGTCTCACTCTGTCGCCCAGGTTGGAATACAGAGGTGTGATCTTGCCTCACTGCAACCTTTGTCTCCCAGGCTCAAGCCATCCTCCCACCTCAGCCTCCCGAGTAGCTGGGACTACAGATGCGTACCACCATGCCTGGTTAATATTTGTATTTTTCATGGAGACGAGGTCTCACTTTGTTGCTCAGGCTGGTCTCAAACTCCTGAGCGCAAGTGATCCACCCACCTCAGCCTCCCTAAGTTCTGGGATGACAGGTGTGAGTCACTGTGCCTGGCCACCTATATATTATTTGCAAGTGACCCACCTAAGACTAAGAAAAACCAATTATTGAAAGTAAAGAGTGTAAAAGGACAAACCAGGTAAATATTAAACTAAAAGACATACTGTAGCGATATCAGACAAAGTAGGGAGATTATTAGGGAAAGGTTCATTACGTAAAGTTGGAAGGCAAAAATGTCCCAGCAAGACAATTCTGAACCTATATGTTCCCTATTACGAAGCCCCAAAATATATATTAAAAAATTGACAGAAGGCATAGGCAAATTCATAATTGTAATGAGAAATGTTTAGCATAGCTCTCCAAAAATGATAGACCAACAAAAAGTTAATATGGACATCGGAAATTTGAATAATGAAACTTGTGAATAATGAAACTCTATAAACTGGTGTTTATAGATGTGTGCCTGAAGTGACTAGAGAATGCAACACACTTTCAACTGCATATAGAATATTTACCAATTACCGGACTACAGGGCTAGTCTCAGTATATTTCAAATAATCCACATTTTGTTCATGACTATAATGGAAAAAAAGAAAAAAAGACAAGTTTTTCCTTATCATATGTTTAGATAGTAAAACAATTCAATTATTAAAGAAGACATTATAATGGAATTAACCACAAATATTTAGTCTTGAATGATGATTAAAAACAGAGAAAAAAATTATGGATTTCTGGCTTCTAATCCAGCATGTCAGGAGCTTAAAAATTGCTGCTCTGTCCTAACAACAAGTAAAATAATGAAAACAAGGAAATAACAATACTTGTTAAACAGGTCGGGGAAATGAGATCACAGAGCAAACCACTGCCCTCAAAATTGGAGAGATGAACAGGTGGATACAGAGAATCACAATTTAGCAGAGCAGAAATCCGTTAGCAGAAACCTCAGTGGGAACCGATGCCAGAGATGGAAAACCTGAACTGGAATTGACAAATTTCTGGATACTTGGTGTGGACAAGTCTGAGAGTTAAAAACTCCAGGGGGATCCAGTTATAGGGAGCTACCACACTTTTGTAAGTTTTACCTCTAGGAAATTTGCCAGGTTCTCATAGTAAATTCATAGTAAATATAGGAAAAAATATTCCCATGTTTCCATCAGAGTATGTGGAAAAGGACCCATTTTGCCATTTTGATATGTGCCAGGGCATTCTGTTCTTAGCAATCCTGTCCTCAGAAGAACCGAGCCAATCTGGGGAAAGGAAAATATCCAATTCAAGCTGGCTCTAGCCTTCCATGTGGGGAAAGGGAAATACCCAAATCCACCCTACCTCTAGGCATTCTGTCCCACCTAAGAGGGGAAAATAACTTAGCAGCACTAGTGAAATTCATACCAAAAGACTGAGACCTAATCACAGGATGATAGAACACTTATTCCCCCCACACACCTTACCATCACATAACTAAAGGGCTATTTATCACAGTTCCTTTTACCCAGTACATTATGTTCACCATTTAACAAAAAATTACAAGGCATACTAAAAGTTTAAAAAAGCACAGTTTGAGGAGATTAAACAAGCGTCAGAACCAGATGATATATGGCAAGAATGTTGAGATGATCAGAACGGAATTAAAAAAAAACTATAATCGATATTAAGCCCTTAAAATATTCTAAGGGCTTTAATGAAAAAAGTAGACAACATTCAAAAAGAGACAGACAAAGTAAGCAGTGAGATGGGAATTTTAAGAAGTAATAAAAAAAACTCTAGAGATAAAAAACACTCTAACAGAAATAAGAATGCCTTTGATGGACTCATTAGTAGACCAGACATGACTGAATAAAGAATATCTGAGCTTGAGGATATGACACCAGAAACTTTCTTTTTTTAATTATTATACTTTAAGTTCTAGGGTACATGTGCACAACGTGCAGGTTTGTTACATAGGTATACATGTGCCATGGTGGTTTGTTGCACCCATTAACTCATCATTTACAAGAGTTATTTCTCCTAATGCTACCCCTCCCACTGCCCCCAGCCCCATGACAGGCCCCCGTGTGTGATGTTCCCTGCCCTGTGACACCAGAAACTTCCAAAGCTGAAAAGCAAAGAGAATAAAGACTTAAAAAAAAAAAAACAAAAACAAAAACAAACAAACAAACCATAGCGGAATGTCCAAGAACTATGAGACAGTTACAAAAGGTGTAAATAACATATGCATAATGACAATACCAGAAGAAGAAAAGAGAAGAGAACAGAAGCAATATTTGAGCAACAATGGAGAATCTTCCCAAATTAACGTCAGACATCAAAACATAAATCCAGGAAGGTCAGAGAGCACCAAGCAGGAAAAATGCCCAAAAAACTCAACACCTCAACATATATTCAAACTTCTGAAAGTCAAAAATTAGAAAAATTATTGAAGAAACCAGAGGGAAGAAACACCTTACTTACAGAGCAGCAGAGTAAGAATTACATCCAATGTCTCCTCAGGAACCATACAAACTGGAAGAGAGTAGAGTGAAAGTGATAACAGAAAAAAATCCCACTACTAGAATTCCGTACGCTGCAAAATTATCCTTTAAAAGTGAGAGATAAATACTTTCTCAAACAAAACTTGAGAAATTTTGGTGTCAGTAGACCTGCCTTGCAAGAAATGTTGAAAGAAGTTCTTCAGAGAGGGAAAATGGTATGTAGCAGAAGCTCAGCTCTACATAAAGAGCATCGGAGAATAAACAATTGAAATTAAAATAAAAACTTCTATTTTTCTTATTTTAAATTGCATTAACAGACAAGAATTTGTTAAAATAATAACAGCAACAATGTATTTGATTACATACACACAAGGCACACACACACACTTATGCATAAGTGAAACTAATGACTTCAATGCTACAGGGTCAGGAGGGAGGAATTTGAAATATTTTGTCATTACAAGATAGTTGCACTAACAGTGAAGAGGTATAGTGTTATTGAAAAGTAGACTTGGATTCATTGTGAATGTATGTTGCAAACTCTTAAAAAATAAGTGCAATTGATATGCTAAGAATGGAGAGAAACTGAAATTGTATAAAGTACTCAATTAAAGCCTCAAAAGTCAGAAAAAGCATAGAAGACAAAAATAGAGACAAAAAACGAAGGACAACAAATAGAAAATAGTAACAAATATAATAGATGTTAATTCAATTTTATCAATAATTACTTTAAATGTCAATGGTCTAAATATACCAATTAAAAGACAAAGATTATCAGAGTGGATCACAAAACAAGACTCAACTATATGCTGTCCAAAAGAAACCCATTTTAAATATAAAGACATATAGGATAAAGTGAAAAGAGTAGAGAAAGATAGCTCATGCTAACACCAATCAAAAAAAAGCTGGAGTCGCTATATAATAATTTCAGACAGAGCAGACTTCAAAGCAATGAAAGTATAATGATATAACAATAAAGAGGTCAATACTCAAAGAAAATATAATAATTGTTAATGTAGAGGTACCTAACAACAGAGTGTTGGACTACATGAGTCGCAAACCAATAGAGCCTCAAGGAGATGTAGATAAATCCACCATTGTAACCAGAGACTTTAACACCCCGCTATTAGAAATGAACAGTTCCAGAAGGCAGAAAATCAGCAAGAACATAGTTGAACTTGAACTCAACAGCACCATCATTCAAGAGGATATAATTGACATCTATAGACTATTTTATCTGGCAATAGCACAATACACATTCTTCTCAAACTCATATGTAACATTCACCAAGATAGACCACATTCTGGGCTATAAAATATGCCTTAACAAATTTAAACAGTAGAAATCATACAATGTCTGCTCTCAGAGCACAATTAGGAATAAATAACAGAAAGATAGCTGCAAAATCCCCAAATACCTGAAGATTAAACAACGTACTTCTAAAATAGCATTGGATCACAGAATAAATCTTAAGAGAAGTTAAGAAATATTTTGAAATAAATGAAAATGAAAATGCATCTTGTCGAAATTTGTGGGATGCAGTGAAAGCAATGCTTAGAGGGAAATTTATACCACTGATCCATGTTTTAAAAATAAGATTGAAAATCAATAATCTAAATTTCTACTTTTGGAAACTAGAAAAAAGGAGAAAATCTAATCTAAAGCAAACAGAAGAAAAGAAATAATAAAAACTGGAGCTGAAAGTAATAAAATTGAAAGCAGGAAATCAATTGAGAAAATCAATGAAACAGAAAGCTGGTTCTTTGAAAAGATTAATAAAATTGATAAGTCTCCACCTGGCCTAAAAAAAAGAAAGAAGACACAAATTACTAATATTAGAAATGAAGGAAAGAACATCATTATACATTTCATGGACATGGAAATGATAACAAAGAAATATTATGAACAAGTCTATGCCCACAGATTTGATAATCTAGATGAAAGAGACCAATACCTTGAAAGACACAATCTTTCAAAACTCACACAAGAGGAAGTAGACTATCTGAATAGGCCCATATCTATTAAAGAAATTAGATAAATAAGTAATTACCTTCCAAAACAGAAAGCACTAGGCCCAGATACATTTATTGGTGAATTCTAACAAACGTTTAAGGATGAAATTATGCCAATTCTCTACAATCTCTTTTACAAGGTAGAAGCAGAGTAAATACTTCTTAACTCACTCTATAAGGCCAGTATTACCCTAAAACCAAAACCAGAAAAAGTATTACAAGAAAACTATAAACCAATATCTCTCATGAATGTAGATGTAAAAATTCTCAACAAAATATTAGAAAATTGAATTCAACAACATATAAAAATTATATACCACAGCTAAGTGAGATTTATTCTATATATGTGGCACTGGTTTAACATTCAAAAATCAATTAGTGTAATCCATTACATCAACAGGGTGAAGAAAAAAATTACATTATCAATAGATGCAGAAAATGCATTTGACAGAGTTCAACACCCATTCATAATAAAATCGCTCAGTAAACTAGGAAAAGAGGGGAACTTCCTTAACTTGATAAAGAACACCTACAAAAAACCTCCAGCTAACCTCACGATTAATAATAAGAAACTCAAAGCTTTCCTACTAGGATCAGGAACAAGGCAAGGATAGCCCCTCATAACACTCCTTTTCAATATACATCCTGGCTAACGCAGTAAGACTAGAAAGTAAAATAAAAGGCATACAGATTGGGAAGAAAGAAATAAAACTGTCTTTCTTCATAGATGACATGACTTGTCTATGTACAAAATGTGAAAGAATCAACGAAAGAATGCCTGGAACTAATTATAGCAAGGTTACAAGATACAAGGTTAATGTACAAAAGTCAGTCACTTTTCTAAATGCCAGCAATGAACAAATGAAATTTAAAATAAAAAACATATTATTTCCATTTAAAATAAAACATTTAGGTATAAATCTAAAAAATGTACAAAATCTATATGAGGAAAACCACAAAACTCTGATGAAAGATATTAAATAATAACGTAATAAATGGGAAGACATTCCAAGTTTATGGATAGGAAGACCCAATATTGTCAAGATGTCAGTTCTTCCCAAGTTGCTCAATCAAGATTCAGTGTAATACCCAATCAAATCCCAGACAGTTATTTTGTGGATATTGAAAAACTGATTATGAAGTTTATATAAACTGGTGAGCACAGTGGCTCACACCTGTAATTCCAGCACTTTGGGAGGCTGAGATGGGAAAATGCTTGAGGCCAGGAGTTTGAGACCAGCTCAGGAACAACATAGCAAGAACTTGTCTCTACAAAAAGAAAAACAAAAGACAACAACAAAACCAAAATGTATATGGAGAGGCAAAAGACCCAGAATAGCCAACTCAATACTGAAGGTGAACAAACAGAACTGACACTATCTGACTTTTAAGACTTACTGTTAAGCTACAGTGATCAAGGCAGTATGGTATTGGTGAAAGAAAAAAACTAGATCAATGGAAGCGAACAGAGAGCCCAGAAGTAGACTCATGGAAATATAGTTAGCTGATCTTTACAAAATGAGCAAAGGCATTGCAATGGAGCAAATATACTCTTTTCAATAAATGGTGTTGGAACAACAAGATATCCACATGCAAAAAAAAAAAAAAAATCAATCTACATGCAGATAGATCACAGACCTAAATATAAAACACAAAACTATAAAACTCCTAGAGATAACACAGGAGAAAATCTAGATGACCTTGGGTTTGGTGATGACTTTTTAAGTACAACACCAAGGGCACAATCCATGAAAGAAATAATTGATAAGCTGCATTTCATTAAAACTAAAATTTTCTGCCTGCAAGAAACAATGTTAAGAGAGCTTGGAGAAAATATTTGCAAGAGGCATAGGTGATAAAGGATTGTCATCCAAAATATACACAGGACTCTTAAAACTCGGCAATAAGACAACAAACAACCCTATTAAAAAGTGGCCCGAAGACCTTTACAGACACCTCATCAAAGAAGGTATAGATGGGAAATAAGCTACGAAAAGATGTTCCGCATAGTATGTCATCAGGGAAATGCAAATTAAAACAACAATGAAATACTACTACAGACCTATTAGAATGACTCAAATCCAAAACACTGACAATACCAAATGCTGGTGAGGATATACGGAGCAACAGGAACTCTCACTCATTGCTGATGGAAAGGCAAATGGTACAGCCACTTTGGAAGACAGTTTTGGCTGTTTCTCACAAAACAAAACATACTTTTATCATACAATCCACCAATTGAACTCCTTGGCATTTACCTGAGGGAGTAGAAACTTTTCACACAAAACTTGTACATGGATATTTGTAGAAGCTTTATTCAGAATTGGCAAAATGTGAAAGCAGCTGAGATGTCCTTCAGTAGGTGAATGAGTAAACGGTGGTACATTCAGACAATGAAATATTATTCAGCGCTGAAAAGAAATGAGCTATTAAGCCATAAGAAGACATGAAGGAAACTTGAATGCATATTGCAAAATGAAAGAAGCCAATCTGAAAAGCCTACATACTGTATGTTTCTGAATATATGACAGTCTGTAAGAGGCAAACCTGTAGAGATAGTTAAAAATATTAGTGGTTTCTATGGGGTAGGCTCAGGGAGGGATGAATAGGTGGAGCACAGAAGATTTTTTAGGGCAGTGAAACCATTGTGTATAATACTACAGGTGGGGGTACATGTCATTATACATTTGTACAAATCCATAGAATGTCCAACACCAAGAGAGCACCCTAATGTAAACTATGGACATTGGATGATAATGATGTGTCAATGTAGGTTCATTTATTATAGCAAATGTACCACTGTGGTGCGGGATTTCAACAGTGAGGGAGGTTGTGCACGTGTGGGGGACAGGGGACATATGGGAGCTCTCTGTTTGTTCCATTCAATTTTGTTGTGATCCTAAAACACAATAAAGTTTATTAATTAAAAAAAATTACGCAAAGCAGCTATAGATGCACTTGGTGGCAGATATACAGACCTAAAATGAATCTATTTCAAAAGGAGGATGACTGACAAGTAATGAGCAATAAATTTGACTTGAGAAATTAGGGAAAGGAATAGTAGGGCCAACACTTCAATGCTTTCTATTATACTCAGAGTAAAATTCAAACTCCTACCATGGTCTATGAGTTCTGCATGGTCTGGACTTTGCTCACTACTTCAACCTTGACCCCATCTCCTCTCACTGCCCCCAGCAGAGGCATACAAATGTGCATTTGTGTACACACACACACACATACACACACACACACAGTCTAACTATGCCAGGCTTCTTCTGACATCTCACACATCAACCTCTGCCCTGTCTCAGGACATTTGCGCTTGCTGCTGCAGCTTCTCGGAACCCCCACTTTTCTCTCTCTCAAACCCCCATACGCATCTCTTCAAATGGCTGGACACTTGACATTTGTCAGGCCTTGGAGAGCCTTCCTGGGCCACGCTGTGGCCCTTCTCTCTTTGTTTCCAACATATCACTTATCATGGGAAACTATTTTATTTGCATATTTGTTTCTTTTCTTTCCTCCTCATTAGACCCTCAGCTCCATGGGGACAGGGCCCGGGCTCTTGCTTATGGCAAACTGGAATGATTGGACATCTTAGTTGTTACAGTGTGTGCATTTTGATGTGAAAGTGTTCACATTAAATTTCAATGACCTGGTCTAAGAAAATAACCACTATCCTTAAATAGAGCTTACATTTAATCCCCATATAGATGATCTTATTTAAATTATTTCATAGGATAACCTGCAAACTGTGCCATCGTTCATACTCTGTTGGGTCTACAAACCCAGGAGCAGGGACCCACATCTTTTCCTAGATGCCTGGTTCTACAGTAGCTTTGCTGCTGGCCTGGCCGGAATCTGGGCCCCAAATGCTGAACTCTGGATTAGGTAGCGCTTGCGTAACTTTCTCATTTTGTAAAACGTGTGTAGACCAAGAAATCACAACAAGAGAAGGACAAAAGACTGGAAAAATTGCTTTATTAACTGAGCTAAAAGGCCCAGTAGGTGATAGCTTTGCTACCTATCAGGTAATTAGCAGCCCTGGAAGCCTGCTTTGTCTAAGGCCTCAGAAAAGAGAAGCCCTCCTTTGTCGCAGGTAAGCAGCCCATTTTCCAATCAGTGGCTCTAATTGCCAGATTGCTGGCTTGCACACCTGCTAGGGCTAGACTTGCTCTGTTGGGGAGGTAAGTATAGACACAGAATCTCCTGGGACCTAGTTACCTGGGTCAGTGGGAACTGAGTGGATGTCCTGGTGCTCAGAAGTGTCTGCAGACAGGATGGAGAGCGTGGGGGGATTCAGCTCTAGGAGAGGATGCCACTTCATGTTTAGAGCTGTCCATGGCTCCCAGTGTCCTTCTGAAATAAACAGACCAGCACTTTTCCAGTGCGAGTGTGCTTTCCCAGGGGATCTTGGTAAAAAGCAGATCCTGATGCAGTAGGCCTGGGGGGAGCCACAATTCTACATCTTCAGCCAGCATCCAGATGACAGAGAGGCTGCTGGTCTGTGGACCACACTTTAAGGAGCAGGACATGGAGCTCCAGGACTGACTTTGGGAGAAGGGGAAGTGCAGGATTTGTCTGGCACTCCTGAAGTTTCCACTCCCACATCCTGGTTTATGCTAGGTGGTCCTTCAGTGCTCTTGTGACCTCTGTGAAGCCCATTGCAGTGTGGACCACACAATGTTGTAAATGCTTATTTACCTTCAAGGCCTGGGCACCTCCTGTGAGGCCACTCCTGACAGCAATGCCCACCCTGGGGCTTGCAAAGGGCACACATTGTGATTGTTCACCAAACTGAACTGGATTATGTGTACCTAGTTCTGCTGCCATAACCACATGTCACTTCACTACTCAAAGTTGCACTTTTCTCATCGGCCAAGAGGGCACAGTGAGAGGCAACCTACATCAACCACTCACCAGCTTGGGAGTACAAACAAGGTTGTGCCGCTCCTTCTTTCTCTTTTATTTATTCTTCAATTGAGGTATAACTTACTTCAACAGGGTAAAAGATACAAATTTCTCAATAGAATTTGCATTTGTATATACCCGTCTTATTCTGCTCAGGCTACCATAATGAAATACAACAGGCTCCATGGCTTAAACAACAGAAATGTATTTTCTCACCATTTTGGAGGCCGGAAATCCTAGATCAGGGTGCTGGCTGATTTGGTGTCTGATGAAGGGTCTGTTTCTGACTTGCAGAGCACCACGTTCTTGCTGTGTGTTCACATGGTCTCTCCTTGTGTTATGCATGCAGAGAGTAGGAGGGAGAGAAGGAGAGGGAGGGAGACAGACAGAGAGACAGAGAGTGAAAGACAGAGTGAGTGCACAAACTCTGCTGTTTCTTTTTATAAGGATGCTAATCTTATGGGATTAGGGACCTATGGTATCATTTAACCTTAATTCCCTTCTAAAGGCCCTGTTTTTAAACATAACCATATTGGGGAAGAGAGCTTCAACATATGAATTTGAAGGTGTGGGGAGACACAATTTAATACATATCTATACTCATACAACACTACCCAGATTACAACAAGAATATTTCAGGTATCTCAACAGTCTCCTTTATGTCCCATTTTGGTTAATGCTCCTCCTTCCAAAAGTAATCACATTCTGACTTCTGTCATCATAGATTAGTTTAGCCAGCTCTTGAATTTCATATAAATAGAACAATCAGTATGGTATACTTTTCTGTAAGTATTTCTGGTTTCTTGTGCTCAATATTAGGACAGTGAGATTCTTTCGTGTTGTTACATTCTCCTCATCCTTATTCTTTCTGAGTAACAATGCATTATAGAAACATACCACAGTTTGTCTTCTTTTTTTTTAACCTGTTGATGGGCATTTAGGTAGTTTCTAGTTTCAGGCTATTACACATAGTGCTGCTATGAATATTCTTGTGTAGGCACTTTGGTGGAAATATGTAAACATTCCTGTGTATATATGTGTAGTAATACCCAGAAATGAAATTACTGGGTCACAATCTATGCTTTCAGCTTTTGTAGCTACTGCTAAACAGTTTTCCAAAGAGATTGAACCAATTTGCACTCCCAAATTGAGTATTAGAGTTCTAGTTGCTCCACATCTTCCCCAACGCTTGATAATATCAGTCCTTATTTTAGCCATTTTCAAGGGTGTGTGGTGATATGTCATTGTAGTTTTAACTTAAATTTCTTTGATGACTAATAATGTTGAATAGGTTTATTTACCATTTAGCTATCTTGTTTAGTGAAAATAAAGTCTCTTCTAAATATTCAAATTTGTTAATCAAACCTCTAAATTACCAGGAAGTCCACCTTTTTCCTCTTGTGGTCTCTTCCTCTGCCAGCAAATTGTCCAGAAAGTCTGGTCCAAGGAGGTCAGTCTTGCTTCTGAAGATAGGTGGAGAATAAACCAGAGTTTCATTCATAAATTATCACTATCTAGTCTTCAGTCTCCACAATGTGCCGCTGTTGGGAACTTGTCTGGTGCAGTCTGGTGCCCCTGTTTCCCAAGTTTTGAGGATGCTGTTCCAGATTCCTGCCCAGATTACAGAACGACTCCATGCTCAGGGTCTCAAGTAGTCTTTTAGAGGTCACAGTCAACCACACAGTCACTGAACGCTATAGGTTGGTGGTCGTGTTTTAGAAACGATCAAATTAGGGGGCTATGACTAGATGGTGTGTCCATTTCAGCTATGGTCCTTTTCCCCAAGCACCCAGATGTTATTACGGGGCTGCATCTCTAGACCAGACACCCCATTCCTTCACAATGATCTCCACTGTAGGGCTTTCGATGTCCACCCTCTCAACCTGCTGCCTATTTCCTTCATCTGGGACTTCCCCAGCCCTGCAAAGAAGTTCTACAAATGTTGAATTTTGCAACAAAGTGAGTTCAGGTCTCAATCTTTTTCCTCCCAGGAGGCTTCATTTACAACCGCAATGTAAATTTATCCTTGCCCATTGAGAAATCTTGAAGGGGAGAGTGGCAGTCATGTGTCAATGGTTCTATTACACCTTTCCTTCAAGGAATGGGTTTTCACCTCAACTGGAGACACCACTTATGTGGCTCTTTCACAATCCAAAAGTTTACCACAGGGTGATTTACCGTGTCTCCCTAGAGAAGTGGCTGGTGGGTTCTTTTAGTGAAAATAAACTAATTTATTAAAACAATATTTCAATGAAAACAAAATAATAATTACAAGCTCTGCTTCATCTAATATCTCATTACAGATATTTACAGGGCTATTTTGCTTAGTGATAACGGATTAAAGTATTAAGACCCTTGGGTTTGAAAGCTGGTTGAGAGGTCTGGGTTTGGGGAATAATCTGGAAGGCATCAAGAGTGGCCTGTAGGTTTGATATGGTTTGGCTGTGTCCCCACCAACATCTTTTTTATGTTTATTTTTTTTGAGATGGAGTCTTGCTCTGTCACCCAGGCTGAAACGGAGTGGCACAACCTTGGCTCACTGCAACCTCTGCCTCCCAGGTTCAAACGATTCTCTTGTCTCAGCCTCCCGAGTAGCTGGGATTACAGGTGTGCACCGCCACACCTGGCTAATTTTTGTATTTTTAGTAGTAGAGATGGGGTTTTACCATGTTGGCCAGGCTGGTCTCAAACTCTTAAACTCAGGTTTAAGATCCACCCACCTTGGCCTCCCAAAGTGCTGGGATTACAGGTGTGAGTCACTTTGTCCTGCTCCCACCCAAATCTTATCTTGAATTATGGCTCCCATAATTCCCATGTGTTGTGGGAGGGACCCAGTAGGAGATAATTGAATCATGGTGGCAGTACCCCATACTCTTATTCATTGTAGCGAATAAGTCTCATGAGATCTGAAGGTTTTATAAGGGGAAACCCCTTTCTCTTGGTTCTCATTATCTCTTGTCTGCTGCCATGTAAGATGTGCCTTTCACCATCTGCCATGATTGTGAGGCCTCCCCAGACACGTGAACTGGGAGTCCATTGCCATTAAACCTCTTTTATTTTATTTTAAAGAAAAAATAAATTACCTAGTCTTGGGTATGTCTTTATCAGCAGCATGAAAACAGACTAATGCAAAGTTGTAGCAGGTAACTGAAGCTGTAGAAGTGGATGAGAGTGTTCAGGAAGATGATGGGGAGAGAAGAGAGGTGGATGGGACTGAATTCTAAGAGTGTCAGCATTTAAGAGATGGTCAGAGAAGATGCAGGAAGCTGAGCAGGTGTGAGGGCACATAATCAGATGTGCCTTGAAGAAGATACTTCTGCCACTCTGCAGAATAGGCAGCAGATGTGCAGAGTTGGATGCAGAAAGACACCTGGGGGTTGGAGTGGAGGGTCAGGAAAGAGATGATGGGAACTTGGGCTTGGGGATGTGACATTTGGGGAGTCAGGTCAATGGGGGAAGCTGGAGATGAATTGGGAAGGGGGGTGAGTGGACAGGATAGATCAAAAGGTCTCCAGCTTGTGTTGGTGACATTCTGCTAGATGGGAAAGTCTCAAGGGCATCGGGGGCCTGGGCGGAGGTTCAAGGTCATGAGGATTCATTTGGACATGTTGAGGTTGAGGAGTTTTAGAGATATCCAAGCAGAAAGACATGCTGTTATAGTCTGAATTGTGTCTTCCCTCCACTCACCAACCAAATTTATATGTTGAAACCCTAACCCTCAGTACCTCTGAAGTCAACTGTATTTGGAGGTAGGGCCTTTAAAGAGGTGATTAACATGACCACATGTGTATTTGAGAGTGGCAGGTGGGAGAAGGGAGAGGATGGAGAAGCTACCTATTCAGTACTATGCTTATTACCTATGTGATGACATAATCTGCACACCAAACCCCATGACATGCAATTTTCCTATATAACAAACCTGTGTATGTACTCCTCAACCTAAAATAAAAGTTTAAAAAAAGGATGATTAAAGCAGGGTGCAGTGGCTCATGCCTATAACTATAATCCTAGCACTTTGAGAGGCTGAAGTGGGGAGATCGCTTAAGCCCAGGAGCTCAAGACCAGCCTGGGCAACATAGAGAGACCCCATCTCTACAAAAAAATTTAAAAAACTAGCCAGGGGTGGTGGTGCATACCTGTAGTCCCAGCTACTTGGGAGTCCAAGGCAGGAGGATGGCTTGAGCCCAGGAGGTTGAAGCTGCAGTAAGCCATGATTGCACCACTGCACTCCAGCCTGTATGACAGAGTGGAACCCTGTCTCTAAACAGTAATAATAATAATAATAAATAAAGAGATGATTAAGTTAAAATGAAGTCCTTAGGATGGGGTCCTATTCCAATCTGATTGGTGTCCTTTTAAGAGGAAACTTGGATACAGAGAAAGACACTGCGTGCACAGAGGGAAGACCATATTGAGGACACAGTGTAAAGGCATCATCTTTGAGCCAAGGAGAGAGGACGCAGGAGTAAACAGCCCTGCTACACCTTGAACTGGGACTTCCAGCCTGCAGACCAGGGAGAAAATAAATTTCTTTTGTTTAGAAAGTAGGCACCCAGTCTGTGCGACTTTGTTATGGCAGCCCTTTGCTGATTAATGAAGTTGCCCAGGAGCTTCAGCCCTGCCTCAGATGCTGTGATTGACCAGGAGGAGCCTAGGGTCTGGGAGCCCTTACTGACTCTTCCCTGGTCACTCTAAGCCCAGCCAAGAATATCTAGTTCAGCTTTCTGAGCACCCTAAGACTTCTAATCAGGCTGCCCCGAAGGAGAAAGCTGAACGGATCAGGATGTAACATGAGGCTTGATTTGGAGGCACCTCACTGCCTCCCTCACCCTTGGGTGCTGGCGATGCCAAATTGCACGTCACCTCTGACGGCCCACGTCTGTGCTCTTCACAGACCTCACAGTGGCATTTCATGTATATTTACTGAGATGCTCAGATATGCAGCAGGGAGAACAAATAGAAAGAGAGAGAGAGAGAGAGACAGAGACAGAGACAGAGACAGAGACAGAGACGGAGAGAGAGGGAGGGAGAGGGGAAGGGGAGATAAGGAGAAAGGGGACCCATCCTAATATTTGCATCACTCAGAGACAGGATGGAGTAGAGGATGCTGGTACAAGGGGAATCTGGTTTGAGAGTGTGAGCTTTTCCAGGGGGATAAAGGGAACAGCTTCTTGTATAATGAGATTGACTTTTAAATTGAAAGTGCTAGTGCTTGTGCTGCAGTTCAGACTTCCCTGCTGTGTGTTTATTCCCAAGGCTCTAACATTAAGACATCGTACATACGAGCTGGGAGCATTCAATTAGGTTTTCTGTTATTAATCAGCCAATTAAGCCACAAACTCTGGGATATACATTTTCACTCTTAAAGAGGTGAGAAGCGTGCTGGGGCCCCCAGTCTTGTTGAAATGCCAGCATGGTGTGGAGGGAGAGGCCAGGGATCCAAGAGAGTCTGGAGGAGAGAGGATGGGATGCAGTAGCGGGAGAGAGTGGATCCATCCTATGCGCAGTGTTGGTGTTTTGGTTCTAGAGACTTCTGGGACAATGGCCATGGAAGGTTTTCTTGTGGAGGAATGCCAACTGGAGACTAGGTGGAAGAAAAACCATTAGCTGTGAAGTTTGGCTGACTTTGGAGTCAAGTCTGCCAGGAGAAATACTGCTTTGCTATGCTGAGCCTCAGTTTTCCCATCTGCAAAACGGGAACTTTTAACCTCTGTTTTTGAGTCCTTCCTCCTTTATAAGAAGCAAATCCAATAAGATAATGAATATGGAAATTTTTTTTTGGAAGCTATCACATGCTAGAGAGGGCATAAGGAAGCAGTAGTGGCCATTATGGACAAAATTTCTGCATAAAAACATTTGAGGACAGTAATAGCTCTTCGAACATGAAAGATTAGTATATAGACTGAGTGGCTAATAAGCACCTATACTTCATTCATTAATTTAATCTGATGATTCCAATGAAACAGACAAAAGGAAGAGAACACTCTTACCCTAGCTAATACTCCTTAGCCTGCTCTAAGAGATAAATCCTTCAATTCACTGTACCCCAAAATGGGGTACAGTCCAGACTGCAACAATTGGACAGGATTGGGGAAGGGAGAATAAAGATCCCAAAACTTTGCGATATGGACTCAGACATTTTATTTATATTCATAATAAGTACCAATTAGAAGAAAGCTGTCAATCTGTTGAGATGATGGGTCCTTAAAGGAAACTAAATAAGAACAGCTAATCATTAGGTCATAAATCAATTGTAAGCGTTTGGATCTGTGATTAGCATACAAATAATTTGTTGTTAGACATTTTTGAAATTAAGTGTTGGTGTAATTAGCACATAAATCATTTGCACATGGGTGTTCCTGAAGTGTCTGATGTGTAATTAGATATAAATCATTTGTATTTGGGACTTTCTAGGGTGTTTGTTATGTCATTAACACACAAATCATTTTTACGTTGGTGTTTTTAAAGTGCCTGTTGTGTAATTAGCACATGGATTATTTGCAAACACTGTGTATGGTTCAGATTATTTGCTGTGTAATTAGCATGAAAATTATTGGTACATAGAATTGTTTGAAGTATTTAGTGGGCAATGAGCATGTATTTAATTTGTAAATGATAATCTCTAAAATGCCTTTTGTAATTAGCACATATACCATTTGTATATGTGTATGTTTAAGTTTCTTGATTTGTAATTAGTGCACAGATCATTTTGTGAATGAGCTCTCTTAAGCAATTTATAATTTGCATGAAAATCATTTATCAATGGGTGTTTCTAGAGTACTTGATTTATAATTAACATATAAGCAATTTGTAGATAGATCTTTAATAACTGCTTGAGAAAAGTTCTTCCTCTTTTAAGAGATACTCTTTTATCCTGTTTACATTTGCTTAGCCAGCCTAATTGCACTTATGAGTTGATAAATTTTTATGCTTTTTTACCCACTGAAAGTTTGGAATGCATACTCAAAGCGTTTCATTAGAGTCTGTTCTTGGTTTGTACTTGTATGAGATCAAAAGTCTGGTGCCTTCTTAGAGATTAGGGTCAGATCTCAGAGTCTCTTTCACCAAGGTGGAGTTGTATCCTACGTTTCATGGGATCATAAAGTGTGCTGTCTTGGACCTATTTCTAGGGATCTAGTGAAAATAATGACAGGCAACACCAATTTATAAAAAATATGAGCTTTATCCAAATAAGAAGCCCAAATACCCCAGAAAACGACTGTAAAGGAGACAGAAAAGATAATTAAAATTGTTGAGCACTCAGCAGATGCCAGGCATCACCCTAATTGTTTTATGAGAGAAATATCAATTAATTATAATAACCATCATGACAGTCAGGCATTATAGCACCACTATTAATCAAAGATACAATGTAAAAAGTTCCAGAGTTAAGGAAACCTTTATAGTGTGTCTTGAAAAGCATCCCATGTTATGAACAAAATAATGAAAAAAAAATGACCATGACTATATTAATTCTGGCTTTGAATTCCAAAGGTAAATGAAAAATCTTCTGAGGATTTAGACAGAAAAAATTAAACATTAAAATAATAATTTAACTTCAAAAGACTAAGATTTCTCCTCTGCAATAATAAATGCCCTCAAAAGGGCACCTTAAAAGAATAAAAGATGAGACCCAATAATTTTATACCCAGCCAAACTGTTTGTATTGTATGGATGTGGCAGAAGAAAACATTCTTACATATTTTTTAGTTTTGAAAAGCATATCTTCATATATTCTTCTAGAAAAAAATTACTTGAGGATGGTCTACAGACAATAAATATATCAAAATATGTCAAGAATGGCTAAATGATGGTAAGAAAGGACTTGCACATAAACCATGTCTTGGTTTGAATCCAGCAAGAGATTCCATCTGATCAATGTAGTAAAGAATGCGGCTTAGAATTTGGTCCCAGAAGAGAAGAAGGGGGAAACTCTCTCTCTGTTACAGGTAGTTAGGAATGAGCCGGGCAAGAGAGGGCTCTCTCCCCGACACACTAGAAATTTGTGGTGATGGCTCAGCAATTACTGCATTGCTTCTCTAAAAGTGATAAACTGGCAGCTGGCACCAGGAGAGGTTATTTCATGATGGTCCACACCTGTTAACGCTCAAGTGTTAATTAAAGCCAGGCCCCAGGGAGAATCAACTTCTTGGGCATACACATTAAGAGACAAAAATGGCAAAGTATGATCTTCTGGGTATACCACCAGAAAAAGGATGAAAGCCTTGGATGGGCATGCCTGTAACTCTCTAAATACACTGCACATGCTCAATTCCCAAGGGTAAATAAAACACTGAACATGCAGAAAGCTCCCTCTAAGGGAAGAATCTTGGGAAATAGGTGAGCCTATAAAGCCCTAAGATCAAGACTAAATGACCTCCATTTTTCTCTCTCTTCGACCTTCAGGTGCCCACTTGGATCTCTTCCAAGGGTTCTTTCCTTTCTTACCTGTTCTAAAGCCTTTTTAATAACCTTCCACTCCTGCTCTGGAACTTGCCCCAGTTTATTTTTCTGCTTTATGCTCCTCAATCAAATTCTTCTTTCCGAGGAGGTAAGGGCTGAAGTTGCTGCAGATTCACATGGATACACGACAGTAGCTTGGGGTAACCTGGATCTCTTCTGCTGGTAACAAGATGTCTCCAGTCATAACAGATTCTCACTCAGTATTAAGAAAATCCTGGAGATGACATAGTACCATCCTTGCCAAACCACTTGTAGTGAGATTCCACAATCTTTAGTTGTTCATAAACCAGCTTGCAGTATCTGTATCAATAGTGTTATAATTGAGGTTTTTCTTTAAATCAATCCACTTGATTTTTAAAAACACATTTATTTCAAAAGATAATTTATGTAACACCTGTAAATGCAAAACCCTCATCATCAGCCATAAATAGAAGGCAATCATAAATATAAAAGCAGTGAGAATATTAAATGTTGCCATTACCAGGACATGCAGGATTTTGTCTGTTTCTTTTTTTTTATACTTTAGCAACTTGGGAATTAAAATGTAACTTACAACAAATGGTCTTTTACAACTAATTGGAAGATTAGTTTTCTGTCTTAGGGGTATGCAAAAATAATGGTGCATTTTAACAATCATGGCATCTTAGAGTGGGTGGAATACAGTAATAATATTCTATTGCATGTTGCTGGCCATATAACCACTTCTCACTGAAAGTTTTGTGTTTGAAGGCTATTTGCTGCTTAAAAAGGGAGATTAGCAAGCGCTAGAGAAGTGTTAAAAACAGAGTAATAACAAGCGAAATCTTCCCGTATAATCAGACTGAAAGGGATTTGTGGAAGGCCTACTTCATTCTACGGGTCAAGGCTATTTAAAGCTGTGTCTGCATATGCCCCAGAAGCAGCTCTTCCACGCCCAGTGGGAAGCAGTGGTGTGTAAAATTCTTAAACAATTTCCTCTTAACAACAGTCTTTAAAAGAGTAGTGCAAGGTTTTCCTGGCTGTACCTCCGGCTTCACTGCCAAGCCAAATTTGCCCAAATACTAGAAGATTGTCTCCAAGACCCCACAAAAGCATGATGTATTTGTATACCTTTCAAAGAAAACACAGTGGAGACTCACGATTTCTATAACGGTATCAATACTGAAGCCCAGGCTCAATGAGGTTTTCCAGCTTGTTCCTGTAAGTGAACAGACAGGTTGGGGGTTTGTGGGGAGCAGTCAAAAGTCCTACTTAATCCCTAACTCACTGGTACAGGACCACGCTGATGGCGCTTAAGCACAATCATTCTGTCCTAGCACTTGCCAGCAATGGTGGAACCATTTGCACAAGGGTTGGGGGCTGGGGGGCGTTAGGTGGAAGGTAAGGAGAAAAGGATGCAACCGTATGGCCTATTCTTTGTCCACAAAAGCAGAGCTTCAGAGAGCAGCATGAGAGTTACTTTTCCTGTCAGAAACCTGAGAAAATATTTTCTAAATATTTAAAACTGACATTGAATGGCCTGATTTCACTAGACTTTTTTTTTCTTTTAATTGAGAAAGACAAACTGGTTGCCCAGTGGTAAATATTAGGTAACTCTGAAGGGCTCAACCTGTTGCCTTCTGCCTGGGATTCTTAAATGATCCAATGTTAACTTTACCTTCTTTTGAATGAATATACATACATGATGTATGATGTACAGTACATATGAAACACACACAAAGAGGGTGAAAAGTTAAAAAGCAAATCCTATAATGTTAACAGAGATGACCTCTTTGTTGGCTGAATTCTGATTGATTATTTTTACTCTACACTTCTCTCTCTTTCCCGAATGTTTGACCATGAGTGTTTATTGACCTTAGAATCAGAGAAGAAGACAAACATTAGAATTCACATTATTTACATACCTATCAATCTTAAGGATGTTAGAAAAAGCTTAGGAAAAAGTATGATTATTTTTGGATGACAGGTTTCGGGTGACTTTTATTTTTTTTTCTCACTTTTTAATATATTACTTTTTTTTTCTTAAACGACAATGGATTCATTTTGTAAGAGCAATAATGAAGTTATTTTGAAAGGGAACAGGCCGGGCGCGGTGGCTCAAGCCTGTAATCCCAGCACTTTGGGAGGCCGAGGCGGGTGGATCACGAGGTCAGGAGATCGAGACTATCCTGGCTAACATGGTGAAACCCCGTCTCTACTAAAAATACAAAAAACTAGCGGGGCGTGGTGGCGGGCGCCTGTAGTCTCAGCTACTTGGGAGGCTGAGGCGGGAGAATGGCGTGAACCCGGGAGGCGGAGCTTGCAGTGAGCCGAGATCACGCCACTGCACTCCAGCCTGGGAGACACAGCGAGACTCCTACTCAAAAAAAAAAAAAAAAAAAAAGAAAGGGAACAAAAACGACTGGACTCAACTGTGCCTTAAAGTAGTCCAGTAAACTTCCCAGTTACACGAACAGATGCATGCGTGTGTGTGTGTGTATGTACGCACACACGTATATTTACATATACACATATATTTACAGTTATGCATCACTCAACAGTTGGGGTATGTTCTGAGGAATGCATCATTAGGTGATTTCATTGTGGGAACATCACACATGATTTCGTTGTATGAAAATCACAGAGTGCATTTACACAAACCTAGAAGGTGTAGCCTGCTACATACCTATGCTTTATGGAACCTAGGAGCTATTGCTCTCAGGCTACAGAGCTGTACAGCATGTTGCTGTGCTGAATACTATGGTCAATTGTAACACAATGGTAAGTATTTGTGTATCTAACCATAGAAAAGGTACAGTAAAAATGCGGTATCACACTGTTATGGAAATGTTGTGTATGTGACCTGTCAATGACTGAAATGTCATTATGCAGCATATTACTGTAAATATTCATAAAATTTATTAATAGATATAGTTATTATATCTTCACTAACCTAGTTTGAGTTGGGTTTTATAATTTATAGCAGAAAGAGTCCCAATTAATACACTGTTGCTGACCAGGTTGGACTTTATCTTCCTGCAAACTCATGTTCATCCCTAGGTTCCTCTTACTGAAAAGCCCCTTACTACAAGTCATTTTTAATGGTTTTGCTTTCAAACTGGTTTTCTAAGAAAACAATCCCAGCAGTTCTGACAGAGTGAGAGCAGCCTGGAGTGGGTCTGGGAGAAGAGCCTTCCAGATTAAGTTACCAGCTGCAGAGGAGAGTGGACTGAGAATGTTTTCTAAATAAGCCTGGACACAGCCTAACGGCACATCCCTGCTTTATTTCTCCTTGTTAGCTCTGACCTCTCTCCCTCACCCAGCACTCCGCCATGCACTCAGGACTAATTTGTTCAAATAAAACCTGACTGTTTGCAAGCCCAGGTGAAAGGGATATATTTAAATACATCTTTAAAGTCAAATAATGTATATACACACACATACATATTATGAGAATGCTGTTCTTGCTTTATTAGCCTCAATTGGAGAAAGAAGAGGGGGAGAGGGGATCTTTCTCAGGGCTGATTCCCTGGCTGTGCGGCCTCAGGTAAATCCCTTGCCTTCCTTGAGCCTCTCAAATGGGTCAAGATGACCTATAAGTGTTCCCTTCCAGCGCTGACATTTTTATTATTTGTGAGAAATGAGAGGATCCACAGGCATGTTAAACATTCATGCATGTATTTACTCACTTCATCCTACCAGTCCATTCATTCATTCATTCTGGTGCTTGAGTAAACAAGTAAGCTGGTGAGGCGGGATAGCTAGCGTAATTAGACAGGCCTATATTCAAATGTCAGTTCTGTGACCTGGGACAGCTCCCTCAAAGTCCTGGGACCTTACTTACCTGAGGACCCAGGGACCTCTATAAAGTGAGTATAGCATTACCATCCCCAAGTGCCGGAGAGAGGAGATCTACATGAAGGTAAAATTAGAGGGCCCGGTACAAATAAATCCCCGGATTACACCAATTTCCCAATTTTAGAGCCCCTCTTCATATCTTATTATTTTTTATCAGAACTTAATCATACAAGGACTTTGCTTCCAGCAAGATGGGATGATACGGCCTGGATTTACCCTCCCATATGAAACAACTAAAACAGAACAAAAGAAAACACGTAAAACAATGGTTTTCAAGACATCGAACATCAGATATCAAAGAACAGTGATCCCAGAGAGATGGCAAACAAATGAGGTGAGCTCTACAATTGCCCCAGCTTATACCTTGAGAGAGACTCCAGTCCACAACATAGGGAGGGGAACTCAGACAGATCTGGGTGTTCTTAAGTGGAGGAGATAAGCCTGGGTGTTCAGGAGGCCAAGTCTGCTACAATTGGCAGAGCAAAGTACCAGAGAGAGAAAGCTGGAAAAGAGAGCTCTGGAGATTTGCAGAGGGCTCTCCTTAAGTACTCAGCAGAGTGCTTATCAACAAATGCTTGTGAGGAAATGACCTGAGGCAAAGAGGAAGAAGTACTTGAAAGGATTAGATACCATAATACCCAGGAATAACTCCTGTTCCATCAGGTGGAGCTCTCAGAAACATTTTACCTTAGTAGTAGGGAATAATTATTCCTGGATCAAACACTTTTCTGGTCCCACATGACAAAGCTTAAAAGCGAGACCTGAAAGGATCAAACTGTTTCCAAGTAACTGCATCTAGGAACAAAGCTCAAGAATATTTATAGAAATACAAAAAAATTAGCACCTGAAAGGATAAAATTCACAATAGCTGGCACACAATCAAAATATTACCAGGTATGCAAAGAAGCAGGAAAATAGAACCCATAATGAGGAGAAAATCAATCTATTGAAACAATCAAAATGGCAAGGACATTGAAAGAGCTTTTAAAACTATTTCTTATGTTCAAGAACCTGGAGAAAAGATTGAGCATGTTAAGTGGAGACATGGAGACATAAACATTTTCAAAAATAAAAACGACAATATCTGAAATGAAAAATATATTGAATGGCATTAACCGAAGATTAGACATTGTAAGAGAAAACATTAGTGAACCTGAAGACATAGAAATAAAAACAAACCAAATCAAACACACAGAAAAACAAAGAATTAAAACATTGAACAGAGCATTAGTAAGCTGGGGGGCAACTTTAAGCAGCCTAACACACATGTAATTGGACGTTCTGAAAGGAGAGGACAGAGAAAACATTTAAAGAAATTATTACTGAAAATTTTCCAAGTTTGATGAAAACTCAGATTCAAGAAGCTTAACAAACTTCAAATGCAATAAACAAACAAACAAATAAAACCTATTCCAAGACAAATGATAAATACCTAAAACAATGAAAAAGAGGAAATCTTAAACATCCAGAGAAAAGAACGTATTACACGCAGATGGAAAAAGATAAGAATTATAGCAAACTTTTCATTAGGAACAATGCAAGTCAGAAGATAATGAAGCAGTATCTTAAAAAAAAAAAAAGGGTTTGAAATTATATATCCAGGAAATATATTTTACAAAAAAATGAAGTCAAATAAAGAATTCTTTAAACAAAAAGACATGTGAAAGCTAAAACTTTCTCAGAAGTGTTTAACATGTCTTTTTTTAGCTTTATCTCTGCAGGAAATGTTAAAGAAAGTCCTTCAGGCCAAATAAAAATGATACTAACATGGAATATGGGTATACAAAGAAATAAAGAGCACTGGGCATGGTCACTGCATAGGAAAATGTAAAATACATTTTTCCTAACATCTAAATCCCCTTAAATGATAATTCATGCTTTAAAGGGAGAACACTAACAATGTATTGTGGGGTTTATAACATACATAGTATGTTATAAATTGTTACAGCAAATGCACAAATGCCAGGTGGGGAGAAATAGAAGCATATTGTTGAAAGGTTCCTATACAATATATGAAGTAGCTTAGTAGCATTTAAAGGTAGGCTCTAATAAGTTAAAGATGTATGCTATAAACTCTAAAGCAACCACTACAATAACACAAGAGAGTTATAGTTAATTCCAAATGGGATAAAACAGAATAATAAAATAACATCCAATAAATCCAGAAGAAGACTGGAAGAAAGGAAGAATAAAACAAAAAACAGATGAGACAAATACAAAGTAAATAATAATATGGTAAGAAGATAGATTTAAGCCCAATCATATGAATAATCATATCAAATATAAATTATTCAAGTACCTAATTAAAGGAGAGGTTATTAGATTGAATAAAAAAGCAAGACACAGCTATTGCTGCTTATA